TCAGCTCAAAAGACTTGAAAGAACCAAAGAAAGCGCCAGATGGCATGGGGAAAAATTTTGAGGCATGGTACAGGGAGATGGCTGGGGTAGGGAATCAGTCAGGCGTGCAGATCATGGGGAAAGGTTGAGGCATTATTGGAAATACAGGCTGTAGAGGCCAGACTTCTATTTCTCTCATCTGAATAGATTCTCCTCCAAATTTCTGGGGTGCCTGGGTGCCTCAGTCAGTTAAGCAGCTGCCTTTGGCCCAGGTCATAATTCCAGGGTCCTGGGTGGAGCCCCACATCGGGTTCCTTGCTCATCAGGGAGCCTGTTTCACCCTCTCCTCCCGACTCATGCTCTCTTGCTATCTCTGTCTCTCTCTCTCAAATAAATAAAATTAAAAAAAAAATTCTCCCTCCCAATTTCAGCCCAGTGCCCCTCTCGGACTCACACAGTAGCATATTTATTTATTCGATTTATTCAATATTCATTAAGTGCCAAAGATGACCTCCATTTACCATTTTTTGATCGGTGCCTATACATTAAGGTAAGACACTGACCCTGCTCACTAAAGCTCTGGGATAAGTAAACCAACGAACGGGATGGGGGTATTTGTTGTAGCTGCCAGGCAGAAGAACCAAAGGTACAGGGACCAGAAGAGGCGATAGGTCTCAGGCGTCCGCGGACGCCAACAGGACCTGGAGGGCAGACATCCTCGTCCTCGACAGGGAGGTGACAGCTGCCGAGGCCCCAAGTCCTGCCGGCACGTGCTGAGAGCCGCGGGCGTGCAGGGCGCAGGCGCAGGGCGCAGGCGCAGTGCTGCGTACCTGCCTGAGGGCTGGGCTGCGGGCCAAGGCGGCCCTAACCAACGCCGGACGCCCCCGCCCCGCTCGCCCCCGCAGGCGTGCATCCGGGCCTGCAAGCCTGACCTCCCGGCCGAGACGCCCATGCTCCCCCGCAGCGGCGATGAGCAGCCGCTGACCGAGAACCCCCGGAAGTACGTCATGGGCCACTTCCGCTGGGACCGCTTTGGCCGCCGGAACGGCAGCGCAGGCCAGAAGCGCGAAGAAGAGGAGGTCGCGGTGGGCGAAGGCCGTGCTCCGCTGCCCTCGGGCGGCTCGGAGCTCCGCGGCGATGGCGGCGAGCCCGGCCTCCGCGAGGGCAAGCGCTCCTATTCCATGGAGCACTTCCGCTGGGGCAAGCCTGTGGGCAAGAAGCGGCGCCCGGTGAAGGTGTACCCCAACGGCGCCGAGGAGGAGTCGGCCGAGGCCTTCCCGCTCGAGTTCAAGAGAGAGCTGGCCGGGGAGCGGCCTGAGCCGGCGCTCGGCCCTGAGGGCGCGGCGGAGGGCGCGGCGGCCCTGGCCGACCTGGAGTACGGCCTGGTGGCGGAGGCCGAGGTGGCGGAGAAGAAGGACGACGGGCCCTACAAGATGGAGCACTTCCGCTGGGGCAGCCCGCCCAAGGACAAGCGCTATGGTGGCTTCATGACCTCCGAGAAGAGCCAGACCCCCCTGGTGACGCTGTTCAAAAACGCCATCATCAAGAACGCCCACAAGAAGGGCCAGTGAGGGCGCCGCGGGCCAGAGGCTTCTCTCCCCAGGAAGTCGACCCTAAGGCCCAGCTCTCCTCGCCTGCCCTCCCGCCGCCTCCCGGCCTGGGTGTGCTCCTCGCCCAGGCCCTGATGGCCCGATAGTCAGCCTCCAAGCTGTCTGTAGTCAGGAAATAAAACCTTTCCAGTCTCACATCTGACTCCGGCTCTGAATGTCCACGGGGCGAATAAAATAAAAATACATATCCATCAAAAAAAGAGCAGCATATATTGATCGGAGGGACAGTAGTTTCCATGTGACCACGTGGAAGTGTATTTTCTAGGACACAGTGGGAATGAAGAGAAGATGTACCCCCGCCCCCATGGGTGTTACAGGAATCGTGTAGGAGCTCCCCTTTATGAAAGAACAAAAATTCAGCTGAGTTAATCTGAAGATCTAATTGGCTTTATTAAGTGATTCATGAGTCTAGTAGCATCCCGTCTAGCAAGTAGAAGGAAGCTCAGAGCGGTTGTACAAGATGGAAGGTTTTTATAGGAAGGAGGGTTGGGCGAGAAGATTATTAGCGAAAGAACTGTTCAGGGCAAGGTCTTTCCCTCGGAGGGAAAAGCAGGGGGTCTCATGCTGACTACCTAATCTTTGGGGTGGGGGTGTGTGATGTGTGTGCATGCCGGGTGTGCACATTTGCACGTTGAGAGGGGTGGGCAGCAAAGGGAAAGGACCCATGTGACAGATTACCTGATTGATGCTTATCAGGAAATTCCTGATCAAGGAACTAGATTTACATTTCTGGGGGAGGGTGCAATTAGGTAAGGTATTAAGCCCCAGTTTGGTGACTTGGCTGATGCCATTCTGGGGGCCTGTGGTTTTCTTTTTAACATGTCTAAGAGCCAGCCCAACATTGGTTGAAGCTCACTGTTGTTGGCTGTGAGGTGGGAAGCTGTGGTAACACCTCCCTGAATCCAGCTATCTGTGTGACCTTGGGCAAGTCTCTCTACTTTTCCAAGATTTGGTTCTCTCATCCATCCACCCACCCCTTCCTAGTGTAAGGATTAATGAGAAAAGAGATGTGATCTTTTTATCACTGAGAGCCTACGTGTGACAGCTGAGGGTGGCTGACAGTTCGGACTTGGCTGCTCTCCCAGGCTACTCACAAATGTCCCCAAACACTTGTTCTAACCTACATAGACAACCCCCCCCTCCCGCCATGGAGACACACCTGTACAAATACAACACAACATACACAGATGCTTCTTCCAGACCCTTAGGCTCCAGCCTTCATAGCTCTGTCTTCTTGCCCTAGCTATACCCAGACCCCTTCCCATGTTGCCTAGCCACAGCCTTTCTCTTTAATATACTCAGTGCTCGGCCTCAACTATCCCAACAGCTTCCTAACCAACCCGTGTCCTTGTCTCCAGTCTGTCTCCTTCCCAACCCACCATATACAAGTTCTTCAGATTAATGTATACAAAATCTTGCTTTTCTTACATTCCCTGGTTCAAGAGCCAAAAGTCAGCCCACCCCAATTTGCTCTCAATGTCAGATTTCATGGGCCATGGACTCTCGTCCATCAGCTTCACTCTCCTGACCAAACCCCATTTCCTGTGTTTCCACCGACTGGTCTTCTCATCCTTCTTTTCCTTTCCCCCTTCCCCCTCTGCCTGGAATGAACTCCCCACCTTCCCCCACCATTGTGAAACCCTTTTTTAAAACATGAGCCCAGGCTTGACTCCAGTTCTGCTGGGGAGACTCGTGATCTCTTCCAGCTGAGTCTCCTCATTCTCAGCCCTGGAGGACACACAGTCCGGCTGGATGGTAAGTTCCTAGCTGCACGCATTCTTGTGTTCTCTTCAGGGAAACTCCACGGTCCAAAGGGCAAAGGCTTGGGGTTGTGTCTTTTTCTTTCTTTCTTTCTTCTTTTTCTTTTTAAGTAGACTCCAAGCCCAGCACCCCTGTTTTTCTTTCAGATGTCCCATGGCGTTTGTATAATGCTGGGTCATGGATTTACAGCCACACACACTGACAATTCACAAGAAACACAAATACTCACATGCACACAGAGATCCACACATAAATGTCAATTACATTAGACATAGCAGTGGATGGTACAGATCAAATCCCGCTGGGAAACATTTGTGTATGGCACGTGCACAGAGATCCCCATATTTTCCTGCTCTAGGAGTTCCTAATACCCTGAGCAATCCTCTGTAAAGGGAATTGGAAAGCTCTACTCTTAAGCCTAAAATCTCCCCTATGGTGGTTTATATAATGGGGCTAGAGTCTAGTTGCTGTGAAGAAGAAATGGCCTAGGCTCTCCCATCAGAATGCTCCCCTGCTGGGAATCCCAAGCCTGGTGTTTACATCTGGGCAGCATCTTTCCCCCTACTCTCCTTCCTTTTTAGGTGCATAAAGTAACAGTAGGTGGAGGCGGCTAAATGGCAGTAGTTAATGTCGGTATTTTCAGATCCTGTTTGCATCCCCCCCAAACCATGTACTTTAAAGAAACCAAATACACAACCATGTGGTGACATTAACATTTATTTGAAAAGGGCATCATGAAGACTCATTGGGAAATCATGACTAATAGTCCTAGAGAATAATCTCGCTAAAGAGTCCTTCTTCGTACAATCCTCCCTTACCCCCACCCTCTTTCCCCTTCCTTGAAATAAAACTAATTTGACTCAATGAGTTTAAAATACAGAAAACTGCCACAGGCACTAATTCTGTGCTCCCACATAAATACGTCAGCTGTTACATACATATATTGTCAACTATCAACTACGTTGCACACACGTGTATGCACGTGGGCACACACACTCTCAGCCAGGTTAGGAGGGTCTAAGTGGACACAGACACGTCGTGATGTACGTGTAATGCTGTAGTATTGTGGATTTCCAGCTCTGCACTCCACAGGCCAGAACCGACGGTCACGGAGGAAGAACTCAGAAGGGGAAGGGGATGGCCTGAGGCCCCAAGGTCCCCTGAAGGAGAAAAGACCAGGTCAACCTGGCCGTGCTAAAGGAGAGCCCAGAAAACTGCCCTCTGTCCCCAGTGGGCCACTGAGCCCCATCCACAGTCCGTGTCTCCTCCCCACCCCCTCAGCTGGCCAGGCCCACCATAACCATCCTGCCGCAATCTTCAGACGTAGGGTCACTTTAACCAGAAGATTTCTAGGGGATGGAGCAGCAGCACAGGACCCTAAACCTCCTCAGACACCATAAGATACCATGTCAGCAGGATCTGCCTGCCAGGGTCTGTGGGTTAGGGAAAGCAGGCATGATCTGCTCCCGTGAGCTGTCCTCCCTGTCTACCTTTATTTTTTATTTTTAAAGATCTTATTTGACAGAGAGAGAGAGACAGAGAGAGGGAATACAAGCAGGGGGAGTGGGAGAGGGAGAAGCAGGGTTTCCAATGAGTGGGGAGCCCAATGCGGGGCTCGATCCCAGAACCCTGGGGTCATGACCTGAGCCAAAAGCAGATGCTTAACGACTGAGACACCCAGGCGCCCCTTTCCTATCTTCCTTTAAACTTAATACTCGGCCTTACACGCAGGCCTTCTCCTTCCCCAGAGATCCCCACAGGCCAGTTGCCATTTTATGGTCACAGAAAAGGATTGGAAGAAACAGCCTCACTTCCCGGTGACCCTCCGTGTGACCAGGTCAGAAGGCCTGAGGACCCTGTAACAGCAACTGGAAGCTATCATGCCCCAGGGGCCCCCAGAGAAGCCCTAAGGTCTGGCTTTGAGCTGTTTCAAGGTACCCCAAGCTGCTGTGATTCTTAGGCCAACTGAAACATGTTCTCTGGGACCCAGGCCACCCAGGGCAAAGGGCAGCGTGTGTATGGTCCTCGTACTTCTCCATCCAGCACTGTGGGTGGTCCCCGCCCACTTTTCACTGCCCATCCGTCTATTTGTGGGAGAGGCTGGACAGAGGACAGCATCTGAGGGAACACTTTTCTAATTCTTCTCACTTCCTTGGGTTCCTCCTCTGGTGAGGAGGCATTTAGGAGTCAAAGAACCACTTATCTCTGCTTTTCAGAGAGAGGAAAATGGGAACGGGCACAGGGCACCAGGGACCCTACTGAAAGGAAAACAAGGAGCCTCCAGGATCCTAAGGGGACTGTCTGTTGAGCTGCTTCTTACCCACTTACATGATTCAACCAAATTAACAGGACCTCTAAAGTCTCAAATACATTCACGCCTTAAGTGATGTGAACAGAGTGGTAACCAGCCCTGCGCCTTGGCCTCAAAGCAAGAGTCCTCTGTGGCTCCCAGAAGCCGCCGCTTTGGATGGGCTTCTTGGCTCAAGCCAGACAGAGAGGCAGGATGCAGTGTCAGTCACATGACACAGGGCAGGCGGACGCCAGAGGGCTTGGAAGGCAGTAAGCAGTGACTTTAAGCCCAAGGCCTGGGTGCCCATCACAGTCTGCTTTGCCCCTCTCCCTGGGCTCACGGGAGGGGAGTGTGGGTGTGAAGGACACTCCGCAGTTTACGGAGTAATCGTTCGAGATAAGTCACATTATGGTTTCTGACTCTGAGGCGTATCTGGCTAGGATCCAGGTCCTACTTCCTGTGCTGGCAATCCAGTATTCTACCGAATGTAAGTTTCTAAATTGAAACTGAGAAGAGGGCCCTCAAGAAATGGCTAGTTCCCCCCAAAGAGGCGCATCTTTGCTAAGCTCTGGTGAGGTAAGGAAAGAGCTGCTGTGGACAGAGGCAGGGGTGAGTGTAGGAAGAAGAATGGTAACCGTGCACCTGCATCTTCACTCCATTCCCAGGGCGGAAGAGGGAGGGGCATCCGGGTGGGCCTACAGATCTCTGGTTCTGGTGCTGGGTCTAGAAAGAGGCTCCAGCACCACGACATCCCAGTCCCAGGGCCAGGCTGCCATGAATTAACCCCCAAAGTCAAGTGGACACAAGAAAGAAATAGGGTTTCTCATCAAAGCCAAGCAGGGGATACAGATGGAAAGATCTGGTAAGGAAAGACCCGTTTGTGGCTCAAGATTGAGAGTTTCTTTAAAGTTTCTTCCAAAGGTCATTTGCCTTCATATTTTATTTTAAATTTTGTTTCTTAATAAAGAGACAGTAAGGTAAAGAGAAGTCAAAGTTCATGCTTTATAAATTTGGGCTGAGCATTAGTTAAGAGCCAGAGCCAAAAGCCACAGGTGGGGGAGGGGTGGGGAGCAGAAGCCGAGATCCTTGGGCCTCGTAATCATGCAGGTCATCCAGAAGCCACAGGCCCTTAGCACGGAGGCACCGACCTGAGTGGAAACTACAGGAGAGTGTCAGATAGCCACCCTATTCAAAGTAGTTATTGCACACGTAATGGGAAAATGCACATGTTAAGGTTTTCCCAGTTCTGGGAAAATACATCTATTTACCCTCATACCCAGGCTTTCACTGTGTGTCTGTGCAGGGCTGTGGGCACGGCTGTGACCAGAGGGTGTCCCATGAAGCCCCCTCCCCTTAGCAGAAACATCCTGCTTCTGGCCCTTCACCACACGGCCTAAAATTGTACCCTAAAAAGGGATTCCTTTGGGTCAAGAAATCTCATTCTCCCTCTTTTTAAAAAGCAAATTCTCCAGGGAGGAATCATTTGACCATTTACACCTTCCTGCGAGTTCCATCAGCTCAGAAAAGTGATGGGAAGTTTTCCTGGGAGACAAGAGAGGGGCTATTTGGGACCATAGGGTGCTGCCATGGGAGGAGACCCAGGAGGCTCCGGAGGGACAAAGGCTCCCGGAGGGGGGATGGGTGAGGGGAGCAGAGAGAACACAGCGAAAGGCCTTCTAGCTCTGCCTCTGCACATAGATAGGCAGGGCGCTCAGCAAAGATGGAAAGCCAGAACCCAAAGGGGTCCTCATTGCTTCTCCCCAAGCCTCAAGTTTGCCAGTTGGCGTTGATGTCCTGACTTTGCCCAAAGAGTGAAGAGATCATTCCAATATTGGATGCCAGAGCCTTCTTTCCTTGAATGAAACATCCAAAAGGTTGACTCTGACATCCTTGAGATGAGAAATGCTATCTTCATAAGCCCCTCCCCTGCCCCCTCCCAAGTCAGGCCGGGAGCCTCTTCCACAGGAAGTGAAGTGGGCAGGCCCGGAGGCCCTCACAATTCCTTTTCCTTTTGAGACACATAGAACCAGATTTTCTTGAACCATTACCTTATTCTGCCCTCCCTCAACTCAGAGGCTGTAGAAACATGCTAGGATCCTCAGGAAGAAAGGCATCAGAGAGAAAACTCAACTTAAGAGAAACATCCAGAAGAAGAGAACTGTGGGAGGACCCAGCAAGCTCCCTCTCAGTGAGGGAGGTGAGAGGATGCAACAGGGGATGTGGCCTTGCCCACTTCTGCCTGCTGCTCCTCCACAGGGGCAGGCCTAGCCCGGGGAGAGCCAGCCCCCTCTATGGCCCAAGCTACCCACCCTGGATTTTTATCCTTTCTTGCTGTGCATGGTATCTCGACTGCAGTTCCTGTTGGAAGGGCTTGACATGAATTAATAATAGAAAGAATCACAAGGACACAACCGGCAGGGCAAGCAGGAGAGTGGAAAGGGGGAGAGGCTGGAGGCCTCCAGGCAGAGGGAGACTGCTCTGGAAGACAGCAGCCGCCTCCCAGCCTTGCACACCACTGCTTTCCCAGAGCAGCTGGGAGCTCGCCCTGCATCCTCCTGACTATTGTCCATGTCTCTGTCTAGTTCTCTCCTGGGGGATTGGCAGCTGTGCCCCCCAGACCCACCCCCATGAAAGCCCTTCCCGACCTACAGCAAGCAGGAGATTCTCAGGACCCCTGTCTCCCTCTGGAGAGTACACCCAGCCCTCCCATGGTTCTCAGTTCTTGGTGGACACAAAGGAGGAGACAAAGGGCAGGTGAGATGCTTATTGGCTCCAGAGGCTGATCTCCTTCAGGGAAGACGAAGAGGAAGTGGGAGGGCTGAGAGGGGGCCCAAGGCTCCCCCTTGCTTAGCTGGGGAGGTGCTGCCAACCAAGCTGCTTTTTCTCTGACATCTCAGTTCCATTTCCAGGCCACAGGGGTGGGTTGTGAGGGCTAGCCCCTCCCTCAGACCCCACCCCGCCGAGGAGCTCTGTCTTCTGGATTCAGTACGAGGAGCTCTGTCTTCTGGATTCAGTATACGCACAGATCGGGAAACTTCATCTCGTAGACCGGGATGGAGTGGTTTTGAGGCTGGCCATAGGCTGCGGTGATGGTGCCTGATGGGCTTGGGGGGGGCCTGGGCAGAAGCACACGAGGGAGAAAAGCGTGAGAAGGGGGCTCTCGGGTCCCACCCCATGCAACCAAAAGGAGTAGCTGATTTGGGTTTTTCTTTGAACAGGGACCAGAGACTGTCACTCCATGGGTTCCTGGGTTGCAAGTTCTAGAATCTTCTAGATTTCACTTGAAGTGTAGCTTCACTGCAGGCTCTACAGTAACACTGTTGCTTTAGAAAATACCAGCCTGGGAACTTAGGACCCCTGGCTCTTTTCTGGGCTTCACTGAGCTATCTTTTTCTCCCTCTAGTCTTGCTTTCCTTACCTGGGAGAGCTGGTGGCTTCATGAAGCCCTGGAGGCAGGGATGCCTGGAGACAGGTGAGAGAGGAGGACTGGGTGGGGGGCGGGGTCCCTGCCCAGGGCTGCCACTTACCGGATGGTGATTTCAAAGATCTGATTGAGTTTGCTCTGCAGCAGTGATGCCTAGACACGAACAGAGGGAAATCAGCCGGGGGCTTCCCCGCTCTCAGGAGCCCCCGCTGTCCAGAGAACCCGTGGAGATGGGGGCCGGTTGCAGTCTTAGGAGGGGAACGGGTGTGAGCTTATTTCTGGCATTTATCTCTGGATCCTGGCTATGGGTTCAGATCAGGTAGGGCCACCCAGGAAGGCGGGCTGGGGATGGCACAGAGGCCGGGACCCCCAGGAGGGCCTCAGTAGACAGCTCGTAAAGGGCCTTTAGTTCCTCCAAGTGGGTCGTAGGGCCCTGCTGGGCATATATAGTCAGGAGGCTCACAGCTGGTTTGAGGTGTCCCTCAACTGCCAAGAGGCAGTTGTGCTAAACTGGTGGGTTAGGGAGAGGCTCTCGCTGGTCCCTTCTGGCTCTAACAAAGCCCATGTACATAGAGAGTGAGACTGTGTCTGCTTCAGAAATGGGCCCCTCAGCTCTGAGCTCATGAAATGAGCAGGGTGCACCTCTAGAGATGGAACAGGTGAGGATCACATAGGCCCAGAAAAATCTATAGGTATTTACTCATCTTATTATATTGTTATTATACATTATGATATATAGAAATATAGATAATACGTCTTACATAATAGAAAAGAAAATAACACATATTTCTACTGAGAGGAAAAAAAATCACAATAAAATAGAAGTTATTTGCAATTTGGGATGTTTATAATTGTGTTGCATTGTTCCTAAGATGGCCATTGTGACTAACAAAGCCTAATCAATTTCAAGAAAGGCATAGACACGAGTCCTTCTCTTTACTTATTTGCCACCTTCTCTTTCAAATCTCTTTTCCAGGGCCAGGCTGTTCCGTACCCCTTACTGGGTAGTCCCTGGCTGGAAGTGGGACCCTGTTGCAAACAGCGGGGCTCATTCCCCATCCACCCGTAATGAGATGCGCGGGACCGCACAGCCCTCGCAGAGGTGACAGACATCAGCTAATAAATGGAAGATGTTCTGGCGTGTGCCTAAGTGTGAGCTGCAGACTTGCTGTTGTAAATATTACAGTCTGTCCGGCTGATGCAGGAGCTCCCGAGGGCAGGACTTCCTCTTCAGAGAGAAATTACGAGATCTCAAGGAGTGTATGGCTAATCACCCAGCCTCTGGGTTCTTGGGGAAACGATGCAACGCCGGGGCATTGGTGGGATCTAAGCCCTAATGTCTGGGTGTCAAAAGTGCCAAGACCTCCTAGACACTCAGCCCTGCTTGGGTCCCCAAGGAATCGGCCCTGTGACGGCTCACTCACCCTGGCCCCGCAGTGTGCCGCGATCTCCTCAAAGGGTGCCTTCTGGAACTTCTCTACCACCTGTCGCCGCCGTTCACGTTCCTGCTCCTCGACTGCTACGCTGTCCACTGTGGCACAGAGAGCTGGGTCAGCCCCGAGGTCCTGGGGGCAGGGGCTGGAGAAGACGGCCAAGACCCCTCCAGGGGAGCGTGTCCGTGACTGCGTTTGGGGCCCTGCCCTCCGCTGATGAACAGCGCACAGAGGGTGGGGTGCCATTACTTGGGCCCACGATGGCTAGATCTTGGGCTAGATTGGGCCTGAGGCTCTGCCCCTTTCCTCATGAAAGAACCCGAGAACCCGTGAAGGGGACCCTTCAGCTGGGCTTTTAAAGCTGTTAAAGATTTTATTTTATTATTTATTTATTATTATTTTTAAAAATATTTTTATTTATTTATTTGACAGACAGAGATCATCAGTAGGCAGAGAGTCAGGCAGAGAGAGAGAGGGGGAAGCAGGCTCCCCGCTGAGCAGAGAGCCTGATGTGGGGCTCGATCCCAGGACCCTGGGATCATGACCCGAGCTGAAGGTAGAGACTTTAACCCACTGAGCCACCCAGGTGGCCCTCTTAAAGATTTTAAAACTGCATCACCACTAAGACTCTCAAAGAAGTGTCAGGAACGGGAAGTACTCTGGCACTGATTGGAAAGGGACACCAACAGTGGCAAAGCCAGATGGATCCCAAGAGCCAAGACAAGAGCTCGGCCCCTAGGGCCCAGCAGTCCGAGGCTGTCCAATTTAAGACTTCTACACATTCCTTTTAGTTTCCAAAATGAGTCAGCAAAAATAAAGAAGTGGGTGGTGGTTCGATATGTCCATGCTTGAAGAAGGCTGAGCAGACCGCGCCTTCAGAAGGAATACTACCAGGGACAACCCAAATGAAAACGGTCTGGCATCTGAAAATATAATTTATCATCAGTTATCAGAAAAATTCTCTTATTCAGAATACTTCACTACCCACTCACCCAGACAAGGGAGGTACTACGGCATTTTACAGTCTGTTGCCAGTAACTATGAATCTGATTTGTTCTTCCTATCTTTCACTGGTCAACTTGTTCTTTTGTATTATAATCCACCAAAAAAATGGTCTAAGTATTTACACAAAATTGCTTTTTGCCTAACTGGCTGTAACCCTCAGGTCATTGCTTTTAAGGGCATCTCGCTGTTGTCGAAGAAGTGTTGCCAGACTGAGGAGATGCAGGAGATGCAGGAGATGCAGGAGATGCAGGAGATGCAGGAGATGCAGGAGATGCAGG